GCGTGGATAATTTCAGTAAGTTCACACTAGAGTTATTATGGTGCCTTTGCTTTTTAATAGTAAACATATAATTATACTCTGCCTTTACTTTGAAATAATTACTGTGGGCCAGGGCCACGTTAAGCCTTTTTCATGGATTATCTCATTTTTTTTCTTCACAACCGCCCTGTACTGTAGGAAAATTGTAACCATTTCACCCAAAAGGACCTTGAAGCTTAAATAGATTCCTCTCTAGTAAGTGGTAGAGTTAGGATGGTGACCTGAGCATGCTCATTTGAGTCTATTTTCTTCAAATTATGTAACATTATTATGATTTTGACTAGAAATATTTTAAATATTTAAAATAATTTTAAATATTTGAATATTTTAAATAAGAAGTATCTTAGTTTGAAGATGATGGAGCCTTTAACAGTACTATTTTCACTTAGGCATGTGGAATGTTTTTCTGTGTGTTTACTCTTTTGTCCTACATTTTTTTCATTGTTTTAATTTTTTTCCTTTTCTTTCTTCAGATAATTTTCCTTCAACTAGTTCTTCTTGAATTAATTTCATAATTACAATGCATTGCTGTAGCATGATATCATCTTTAGAATGTGTAAGACTAGAGGGAAATTTAATGGAAAATAACAAAAGTTGTTTCCTTCCAAGTAAATTATCTATCCCCGTTTCATTTTAATCTAAATAAACTTGAATCTATACTACTTGTTTATATAATAACTTCCAAAGCATCTCTTTGAATTAAGAAAATTATTTATTTTTCTATGCTCTCTGTAAAATTCTCCAACTGTGAAAATAATAGGCAGCAGTTTAATGAAACAACATAGAAACAATATAGAAAAAGTGGAAATGAAAACATGCATTTTTTCCATTTACTATACTTTTGTATCTTCTCTGACTTTTAACAATATATTTACGACACAATTCACATAAGCTGTCAATTATTGAAGTCAGGAGTACATTTGTCATATTCTGAAGACAAATTTGTCCTAAATAAATTTTGAAAAGGTCCAATTTTACATTCCATAGCTGGTTAAGCCAGATCTTCCATGCCACCCCTCCCTCAGCTCCCCAGCCTCCCAACACATAATTTTCTTCCTGGTCTTCAGCTATAACCAAAACCAATGTGACACTTCAGAGGGGACATCATTTTTGTATCCTAAGGACTATGTTCCCTTGCTTTCAACACCCTCCCTCCAAGAGATAAGTAAAATAGATAAATACAAATCTTTTTTCTCATTCTATATGTCATTTCTCAGCACCTCGAATGCTCTCATTATTAGATTATTGTCAGTCTTAATCATTTTCATGTTTAGCTATTGAATAACTCTTCCTTGGTTCCATTATATATGGAGTCCTCTAGATCAGATAGTCATTATCAAGTGATGAACAGAATTTCAAGCCATGTGTGGCGCAACTACGTAACTTGTTTTTGATGGAGTTAACATCTCTATAAAAATGTTTGTACAATAAATTGCCTTTTATTATTATTTTTTCATTTTTATTCCTTTCATTCGTATTGAAAAATAAAATAAGTATGGACATATTTGTTAGTACTGACACTAATAAGACATTAGTAGGGTCCTTAAATACAGTACAGTTGGAAAAATAGATTTGCATCATTGAATGTGCTAGGGTTTGTGAATTTTTATATTAAATCAGACGATGAGCAGTAAATTCAGTTGTGAATGGTAAAGAACAAAATGTAATTATAAACAGGATGTGCTAGATTTTTATTTTTGTATATTGTGGAAGGTGAGAGATTAAAGCAATCTATAGAGAGAGAGAGAGAGAGATTCAAACTTTCTCTAAATTTATAAACCTATTATTTAAATTTCCTGCATTTATTCCAAGAACATAGTAATTAAGTATAGCAAACTTTCTTTTGTTTTTTTAAAGGTATGCTTTTTTGGTGAGGAAGATTGACCCTGAGGTAACACCTGTTGCCAATTTTCCTCTTTTTTTTTTTCTCTCCAAAGCCCCAGTACATAATTGTACCACCCAGTTGTAAGTCATTCTAGTTCTTCTGTGTGGGATGCCACCACAGTATGGCCTGATGAGTGGTGCTAGATCTGTGCCCAAGATCCAAATCTGTGAACCCCAGGCCGCCAAAGCAGAGTAGGCAAACTTAACCACTCGGCCATGGGGCGGCCCCATGGACTTTCTGTAAAGATATAAATTACCATCTTTCAAGGGTTAAGTGTTAGGAGATTGCCTTCCAATTTCTAAGATGTCCTCTGTCAATGAGTGTGTGTTTTAAGCTAATTTTATTTAGAAAACTTCCTTAAAATGACAAATATTGGAGATTGTTTATATTGTTGTGGTGTGTATGTATTTATGTGTGTGTGTGTTGAGGACAATAAACTACATAATAGGACAAAATGAAGATTTAACTTAACTTAAACTCTAAGTCTTTCCTTTGCTGCCTTAAATCCTTCTTTTACCCTTTTGTTATTAATAACATGTTAAAATATTAATTATACCCATACACACACATATACAGGTATGTCATACATATCAACACTACAAATTATTTTCCGGAACCAAATAAGGGATAGTCAGTATCACTGGAGTGCAGTGGTGGGAGCGGTATACAAGGTGGTGTGGTGTTAGGAAAAAAGTAATCCTTGCCCATGATAAACTACATTCTCAGCCGTTGCGATGTGCTCATAGTCAATCTGGGTTCCTCTCAAGGACTTATTTAGAAATTATCACCGAGTTGCTGTGGTACAAATTATAGCTTCACTTAGTGCATCTGAGCTGACATGTCTATCCCGCTATCTTTTTTTTTTTTTTAAAGATTTTCTATTTTTTCCTTTTTCTCCCCAAAGCCCCCCAGCACGTAGATGTATATTCTTCATTGTGGGTCCTTCTAGTTGTGGCACGTGGGACGCCGCCTCAGCGTGGTTTGATGAGCGGTGCCATGTCCACGCCCAGGATTCGAACCAACGAAACACTGGGCCGCCTGCAGCGGAGCGCGCAAACTCAACCACTCGGCCACGGGGCCAGCCCCTATCCCGCTATCTTTGATTACCACCTATAAGTTTTGACTTCCAAATTAGTAATCCCTTCTTTCACATAATGTCCAAGAAATAAATCTGCATTGTCACTCTTTCTACTGGATGTTTCCAACTGAGAGTGTTATTCAACTCAGAGTCAAAATGCTCAAAACCGAGCTCCCTTACGTGCTCTCCACAGTGGAGCTTCTTTGCGCCATATCTTAATGTTATCACATGCTAGAAACCTCAGTTGCCTTTCTCTGCCTCCACTGTGTACATTTTCAGTGTTTCACAATCTTACCATTTCTAATAGATTTTCATAATCATCTACTTCAGATAAATCATTGCCACTGCTTAGCTCAGGTCTTCATCATCTCCATATGGCCTTAGTGTTTTTCTTGGCTTCATTTTTCCCCTTACATTCCCCCTTCTCTTTCTCTTACAATGACCGTGGGCTTACACAAGAACTAGTATGTGCTGTGGATACTTGAGTGACAAATAGGCAACATCCCCTACACTGGTGGCACTTGCATTCCACTGAGAGATGTCAACAATAATCCTGATAAATGAGTAAATTATGCAGCATGTTAGAAACTGATGGCTACCATGGAAAAAGTAGAAGAAGTTAAGCAAGAAAGGAAATAATGATTGGAAGAAGGAAGTGTGGGAAGGTGTATTCATTTAGAATAGTCCAAGGAATCCTAAGAGAGTGATAATTGAACAAAAACTTGAAGGCAGTGAAAGAGTGAGCTTAGAGATATTTTAAGGAAAAGCATTCAGGGTATAGGAACAGAAAGTAAAAAATTCTGAGGCAGGAGGATACACAGCGTGTTCGAGGAGCAGCAAGAAAGCTAGTGTGGTTGGGGCGGAGTAAACAAGGAAAAGAGGAGGGGGAATTGTTCAGAGAGGTAACAGAGAGCTGGATAAGGTGGCATCTGTTTAGTCCGAGAAAGGGCCCTGGCTTCTACTCTGAGTAAGATGGGAAGCCATTATGGAGTCATGAATGGTGGAATGAAATAATCTGAATTATCTTTTGCAAACCATTCTGGTTGATTAGAAGAGAATATCTTTTTCAAACACAAAGATCATGACAATACTCCTCTGCTTTAAAACATGTTTGGTTTTTAACAAAATGATCCTCAGGATAAATTTATAGTCTCACAAAATGGGTTAAACACCTCCTCATCTCCTGATGTTATCCATCCCAAGACATCCATGGAAAAGTCAGGCCACAATATATGATTCCATAATGAAGTGCTAAGACTCTGTGCCATAAATTAGAACCTTATGGAAATGCTAAAATAATACAAGTGGAAATCATTATGGAATAATTTGTCTGGGTGATTGAACTTGAGCTTGATCCTGAGGATAAATAAAATCAATTAGTCAAAGGGGAGAAGGGTAGGGTGGGGTGGAGCATGTTGTCTAAGCAGAGGCATAAAATCAAGAATATCCAGCTGGACAATGAAATCACCTGCCTTTTGGGGAGAAGTGAGACAGATGGAAGCCAAGCAGAAGAGTTTAGACTTTGATGCCACCATAAAAGAGGAGAAAACTGTAGATTTTCGAGTAGAAGAATAAAGTAATAAAATCACTTTAGACAGTAGCCTGGCAGATGGTTCTGATTTATTGAGGGAAAACGAACAAACAAAAAACAAGTCTTATATGAGTCAACTCTTACCATCTACCTAAAGGAGCATGCCCTTGTCACAGCTTGGGGAAAATCAGTGACCTTATATGAATGATGCTTTTGACCAAAGAGGGCTTCCATTATTTTCCCAGAAGATTTATGCCTGGCCAAGGGGAAGAAAATGGAATTGAAGACAAAGGGAGTTATTTGTCTTCTCTGTGCTTAGGTGTGTGTATTGCTGGCGTGTATCAGATCCAAGACTTTTCAATGATGTTTATTGTCAAATGTATAATATTAGTATGTGACGACTACACTGAACTGAAAGAACATTGTAAAGTCTGATTTATATAATAAAATTGTGTTTTGTTCATCAGGTAACAGAAACACGGACGGGTCCTCTTGGCTGCAGTAACTACGACAACCTGGATTCTGTCAGCTCAGTTCTGGTTCAGAGTCCTGAGAATAAGATTCAGTTGCAAGGTATGTAGGTAAAATTTTGTGATTCTCTATAAGCCTGGATGATAATTACCCAGGTATGACTTCTTTCTTTCTTACTTTTTCTTTTTTTGAGGAAGATTAGCCCTGGGCTAACATCCACCAACAATCCTCCTCTTTGTGCTGACGAAGATTGGCTCTTAGCTAACATCCTTGCCCATCTTCCTCTACTTTATATGTGGGGCGCCTGCCACAGCATGGCTTGATAAGTGGTGCATAGGTCCAAGCCTGGGATGCGAACCGGAGTGCGCAAACTTAACCCCTGTGCCACCTGGCCGGCCCCTCTTTCTCACTCTTTTGTTGATTAAGCCATATATGCAGAACTAGGCTGTTAAAATGTTCATAAGAGGCTAATTTCCTAATTTTTAACTGGTATAAACATACTAGACCAGAGAAAGATAATGTTAAAATTCACTTTACTTCTTTGATTTAGTAATCTATAGCAATTGAACGTTTACCATGTAACATTTTACTTTCACACAGTAATCATTATCTCAATAAGTGACAGTTTTTCCATAGATGAGCTTTGACTTTTTCCTTATAGATTCTGGTAAAAGTTGTAACCATATTTATGCAGAATGTAACGTGAACCAGTGACATTCTAAATATAATTTAATATAGTAGTTAAGGCTGCATTTGTCTTCTGACAAATAGAAATGTACTTGAGACTATATTAAAAACTATTTATATTTGCATTATTTCCATTGTAAAGATAGATAATGTGGTAATGGTAATAATTTACCATCATTTTTATTACTATATTTTGTGAGATAATTCAATAAAGGATTTTTTAAATAATTAATTTTAACAAATGTATACCATTCTGAAAATGGTGATGGGTATGTGTACTTATTCATTCATAGAAGCAGGAAAAAGTGATGAATGCACATGTTTTAACAGGTACTAGTTGAACAAGCTCAGAAAGGTCTTTGTGATGACACATTGCCTAAATCAAGTTGACTGTCAAAGGGGCAATTTTGAGTTGTTCTGTAGTCTACCTTTTTTTTTTCTTTTGGTGAGGAAGAGTGGCCCTAAACTAACATCTATTGCCAATCTTCCTTTTTTTCCTTGAGGAAGATTGTCACTGAGCTAATATCTGTGCCAATCTTCCTCTGTTTTGTGTGTGGGACACCTCCACAGCATGGCTTGATTAATGGTATGTAGGTCTGCACCTGGAATCCGAACCCACAAACCCTGGGCCACAAAGCAGAGAGTGCAAACATAACCACCATGGCCCCCCGCTGGTCCATTAGTCTACCTTTTTCAATTGCCTAAGTTAGAGCTATATTTGCATTATTCAGTTTTACATAAGAATGCTTAAAAGTTTCAGAGATTCTGCCATTTTTTCTCAAGTTTTCAATCTTGAAAAATGTAGCAGTATTGGGTTATTTAAATTTACCCTAAATAATAAATGAATGTAACTCATTTTGAATTGTATAAAAATTATAAAAAGTACTTGAAAATTTTAAACTTTAAATGCTAGCCAATTTATCATTATCAATTTTAGATTTAAAGTTAGTGAAATATTTTCTCTAAATAGAAATGCAGTCTACCAATGTTACTTGTAATTCTCTACAGCGTACTCATTAAATGTATGGATTAACTTTCATTCAGGGTATTAACTTTCATCAACAAGGACAATGAATGTTTATATCAAATATGTTTACTTCAATTGATTCATTATTAAAATTTATTAACACGACATTGATTTTTACTTGTGAATCACTATGTTCAGTTTTCAAAATATTATATTATCAAAACAAACATCAGCCTCCTGTCTGTCTGAAAAAAGGTAAACACAAGAAATAAATGAAGCAACATTTCCCTTTTGTGTAACTGCTATTTCTACTCTTTTCAATTTATGTGATTAACACAGAAAGCTACATCTCCATATTTCACCTTTTCCTATTTTCATGCCTATATTTCTCATTGTCTAATGCAACTTTATTTGTACCCCTGTGGTACAAAGACCTTTCCAAAGATAATTCTAGGAAATCGTTATCAAGCCCCTCAAACTGCCATGTATTCTTTCTTAAATTTCAGCTCTACTCATAGTCCAAGTATCATGTTAATTCACCTCTTCAATCTCACCTTTATGATTAGCCCTTCTCTACTTTAAAAAAGAATGGGAAGCATTTACTGATTCTGGATCAATGTTACCATGATACATTCCTTTGAAGATTATAAAAAATTCTGGGTCACTATTTGCAGCAGTTGGAAAAACTGGTGTCTCCAAAGAATCTTTTATTAAGGTTCCATGACAGGTCATTGGGTCTTTCATAGTTAGATAGTTAGATAGCTAGTTGGTTGGTTTGATGGATGAATATAGATATAGATGACATAGAGATAGATAGATAGATAGATAGATAGTTTTTTTCTGTGTTTTGTTTTTAAGCACAAAGTGCAGTGTTAGAACTGGCACTTGGCCATCTTGGGGATCTTCTGACTTCATATATATTATTGAGAGGAGTCTGAAATTGAAGGGCACTGGTCAGCTGCTCATTTTCACTTAGTTTTTTTTGTTGCTAGAACATATATTTTTGTGGCACAAATTACAATTTTCGTGATGTCTCTCATCGATTTTGTAATTTTTTTATATATTTTTCACTAAATATTGCTGCTTTAGTTTTCTCCTCTCATTCTGGGGTTCCAATTAAATGTATTTTTAGACTTTTAACTTTCGACCTGTGTGTCTTTTATGCTGTCTTCTGTAGTTTACATCCCTTTGCCTTTTTATTATTCTATGTTCACTATTTTTTCTGACATATTCCAGTTTGATAATTATCTCTTCAGCTGTGACTGGTCTGCTGTTAAGCCCATCAATTGGGGTTACTTCTTAAAGCCAATTTATATATTTTTATTTGCAGAATTTCCATTTATCATTTATACTTTCCAGTTCTCTGTCAAAATTGTCTGTTTTGTCATTTAATTTTTGACCAGGTGATTGAAATTAATTTACAGTTCATATTTGATAGACTCTATATCTTTTCTTATTTTTTATGTGCTCCCTATACTTTTTATTGAATTCTGATGCTGTGCTTGAAAATTTGTACACATAACATAAAATTATTGAAAAAGTTTTCTTCTTCTAGAGCAGATTTACTATTGTTTCCCATTTTTAACTGAACCACTTGAAAGTATGCTTTAGATCTAGTGAAGGCTAGTGTTTTCTTGTGTTTTTTAAATTACTTCTTGGATACATATAGCCCTGCTGGGTTACAAGAAATCCTGAGGAATTTACTATCTTTATCATGCTGGTTCAAAACTGTTTTTTTTTTTTTTTGGTGAGGAAGATTGGCCCTTATCTGTCCCAATCTTCCTCTATTTTAGATGTGGGATGCCACCACAGCATGGCTGGATGAGCATTGTGTAGATCTGTGCCCAGGATCGAACTTGCGAATACCGGGCTGCCAAAGTGCAGCACTTGAACTTAAGCACCATGCCACCAGGGTGGCCCCTCAAAACTTCAATTTTTGCTTTGCTAACTGGGCAAAACTCTAAGACAAAAACTATGTCCAATGTTGGCTTACTCTCCAAAGATTCTCTCCTTGGCATGTTAGCCCCAGAAATCCTCACTGCATTATTGGCCTTCAGATCCCTTCAAATAGATTATTTTAAACATTTTCTCCATATTTTCTGGTTCTTCCTAATAAGAAAGTTGGTTTTAAAAAAATCTAGCCTTCCAATACTAGACACATCTATGGTTTACTGTGTGGTTCTCAGCTCATGACACTTGCCCAGTCGCACACGCTCACTATCACAGTACCCTCTATGCTCAGAACTCAGCTTCCTTAAGGACTGTCTCAGCACCAAGTAAACTTTCTGTTCCTATGATCCTACCAGTGTGTTTCCTCTGTTGCTTCTGCACATTGAAAAACATATAATTGTTTAACCAGTTAGTTACATCTAGTGAATTATAGGCATCCCAACTCTAGTAGTTATTAAGTACTGTTGTATAGTATTACTACATAGTTATTTATTTGATATTTCCCTAAATATATTGCAACTACCTTTAGAGCAAGTTTGTGTCTCAGTTATTTGCATATTTATTCTTTACCTAGAAATTCTCTTTCAAGTGAGAAGCGTTCAATAAATGTTATCTATCTAAGATGAAATAAAAATGAATAATAAATACATAGTGCTAAGAGTATTCTCCTTACCAAAATACGGGACAATTAATCTGAAAGAATGAAACAGGTATAATTGTCAAGATACATGCAAAGCAGATTTTTTTCCTAAACACCAATCCATGATTTTTATTAAATCAACCTCATAGATAATGGTCAAGGGTCAAAAAATTGACCTTTTTTGTTTTGGTTAGAAAAAACCATGTAAAAACTGTAAAAATCCAATTTTCTAGTAAATAGAAATTAGGTATTGGCCAAATTTTCCTTTAATTTATGTTTAATATTACCTACTGATTCATTTGAGTATTTAACCTTTTTATTAAATTTTCCTTAGGTAGCAAGAAATGCTGATACAGAAACTATATCTTTTCTTAAAATATCATAATGAATGTAAAGCCAGTAGAAATCCCCAAATGTTAATCCTATCCCCTTATTTTCATCTTTGATATTTTTCTTAAGAGATAGATAGCAACTTTACTGAACTTCATGTAGAAAAGTAATGACCTGCATCACTAGGGCCGTCTGAAATCATGGCGAGGAAATGAACTGTGAAACAGCTAAATGAGAGCATCTGCTTTCCCGTAGTCAGCCTTAGTCATCAGTCCTAACAACAGAGCCACGTAGGTTATGTGTTGTTAATGGCATGAAATAAGCATTACCAGAAACCATCCAGAACTCTTTCCCAGCTATCCCATTACAATATCTACGTAGATGTGGGCTGATAGCCTGAAAGTAAAATGAAAATGTTGAAAACTATTTGTAATCAAACAGTGGAAAATAAATGTGTACACCTCTTTGCAAAAGTAAAGGAAGATGGACTCTATCTACATTGGCGAAAAATAAGCAAATATTCTGATCGATCAAGTCAAAGAACCAATCAAATAAGTTTAAAAAACAAAATCAGATAGTCTGAGAGATTAAACGCCTCTGTAATTTTGGGGAATTCTTAAACAGGACGTGGAATCAGGCTATGTCGAAAAGAATTATAAATACTTGCAATCTTGTAGACTTAGTTCTCTAATGATAGTTTTAAAATATGCATACATAAACGCACAACTTAATAGACTTAATTTGGGGCCTGTTTTGAATATGGCAAATACCTATTGTACTTTTTTCTTTATCAAAGTCAACTTCGGTGATTTCTTTGTTCTTTCAGGGTTGCAAGTGCTGCTTCCGGACTATCTTCAGGAGCGTTTTGTTCAAGCAGCCTTGAGTTACATTGCTTGCAATTCCGAGGGAGAGTTTATCTGCAAGGACAATGACTGCTGGTGTCATTGTGGTCCCAAATTTCCAGAATGCAACTGCCCCTCCATGGACATTCAAGCCATGGAAGAGAATCTTCTTCGAATAACTGAAACCTGGAAAGCCTACAACAGTGACTTTGAGGAATCAGGTAAGAGATATATTTTAATATAACACTTCTAAACTTTGCCAAAAAAGTTACTATATTGAAAAGACTATTGGCCCTTTTGGAAGAAGCTATTACATGCTTGCAAGGGCTTTTATTTAATTTTTTTATTATTATTCTTTCAAATGGGCATTCCATTGCTTTTATTACTGGTTATTCAGTATTTTATTGAATCATATATGCTGCTTTGTGTATTTCTATATACTATTGGCACTCGAACCTATCTGCTCTTGAGCTGATGTATTAGTCATTTAATAAAGTCTTTGTCTTTCTCAGTATAAGAATTTATAATCTGATACCTGTGACACCTCTCCAGGATTTTCTAGTGGCCAGAATTTCACTTGTTAGGCAAAATGCAGAGAGCGGTTATTCTCTCTCTTGTTTACATTAACGTGAATCTCATGAGTGTGTGCCTTCACTTAACTGCTTATTTTTATGATGAAATTTAGATCAATTTTGAGTTAGTAGTATTTGAGGGTTTTATTTTTTGTTATTTCTGAATCTTTACAAGTTCGTATATGTTTTCAATATTGCTTTTTATTGACCTCATAACTTATAATATCTACATTTCATAAAGCATTGAACTTAATAAAAGATTAAGGATGCCTCAGCATAAAATTAAAAATATTGATAAAAGCATATGTAATAATTGGTGATAAAAGAAAAATAAAAATCCCCACAGTGTGGTGAGTATAATTATGTAGCATTTAGTCAAAAGTGTTGGACATGACTAACTTTCAGATGGGCAAAAGAGGTTTTAACTGCCAAGAGGTCACATTTACATGCTTGGATGTTATAATTCTTTTGGTGATTCATGCAACCAACCACACTTATAAAGTGACAACAAAATTCAACATCCATTTTTGATAAAAACACTTCACAAATTAGGCACAAATGGAACATATCTCAACATAATAAAGGCTGTATATTATAAGCCTACAGCTAACATGATATAAGAGAAAACATAATTGATGGTTTCAACAAAACAGCACCTTTTTGTGGAGTAGAACCACCAAGTTATAGAATAAAAGTTAAATTATAGAATAATAGGTAAACAGATTTAGGAAGAGTTAATAGATTTAGGTTTTCTTAAGATATATTTTGATCAAAATACTGTGTAATATATAATCTTCCTCTATTTTAGTAATATTTCTATTTATATGAACAGGAAAAATTGTCTAGAATCAGGGCCAGCCCCGGTGGCCTAGTGGTGAAGTTCAGCGCGCTCTGCTTTGGTGGCCTGAGTTTGGTTCCTGAGTGTGGACCTACACTGCTCTGTTAGTGGCCATGCTGTGCTGGGCAGCCCACATACTAAAAAAGAGAGGAAGATTGGCACAAATATTACCTCAGGGCAAATCTTCCCCAGCAAAAAAAAAAAAATTTGTCTAGAATCAAAGATCCTTATTCCCTTGACCAGGGAATCCTCTTAGTCCTCATATTTGTGGAATTCACATAAGAATGGTACTCCTTTTATTTTGCCTTGAAAAGGATATTAAAAAAAAATCACCAAATGAGCATTTGGGGTTTTGTTTTCAGGTAGAATGTAATAGATTGAAGTAGACCAACAATTCCATTGGTAGTAACCAGAAAGATGAATAGTCGCTTTAAATTATATTTTTAAAGACATGATAGATCATTAAAATTACAAAAACCAAATGGACTAAAATTCCTGGCAGGAGATATAAGCTGGGGATTCACAGCTTTCTTTCTTTCTTTCTTATTTTGTTCATTAATTTATTTAATTCTGTGGACATTTGCCAATTCTTGGTCTAGTCTAGAAGCTGAGGACTCTGTATTCTCCCAGGCAGAGAGTGGCTGATGGGAGCGAGGAAAACCAGCCAAGATTTTAGCGGTTGTGGAGAATGGAGTGACAAAATTCTAGACTCAGTGGGCCAAAAGAAGTTCAGTTTTAACACAAGATATTTGCTGAATTTTAGGTAGTGCTGGATGCTAAAGAACTACTCAAAATTCTTTGAAAGCAGAGTGAAGTTTAGCATAGACTTTCAGGTGCTTAAGAAATAAAAACTCTCTAGAGGGAGGGGCTTGAAATTAAAATAAACAAAGATGGAAAATACTGGAGAGAACGAGGAATTGACACCGAGTTTCTACAACTACTTTTTCTTGGGGCACATTTATCAATTCAAGATTGACTTAAAAGCTGAGAATCTAGGATTAGCCCCTGGAAAATTCTGCTGTTCCAAGACAGAGAAACTAGAAGAAAGTTTTGCAGTTATAGTAGATTAAGTGAGAAAATTGGGGGCTCACGGGATTTTAAATCCACAACCAGTCTCCTCTTTAAGACAGTTACCTTATTTTGAATCCACCTGTAGCAGATGAATAAGGAAGTAAATTAAAAATCTCTGAATGATAGAATTGAGTTTTCTGCAGTGTTACAGGCCTGAAGTAACAAATGCTCACCAGGTCCTTAATTGAAAGTTCTAAAGTGTCACATCCTAAGAACCGGGGAAAATCAGAGTTAGATTGAGTCCTATACAATTATAACCCAGCACTGATATAGCTCAAATCTTGATCCTAAGGAGTTGATTCTAAAAAAGCTCAACTCCCTATAGTGTTTCTTAAATACGAAACCTCTTGAGAGTGAAAACATTTTCTAAAACCTCTACAGTTCTTTTTATATATGGTGGACATAAAACCTTAATTTACAATACATATGAGCAGACAAGACCTTGTGGCCAGTATCAAAGAGAAAAGAAAGCAGACGATAGATGTAAGATGATCCAGATATTGAAATTAGTAGGAAAGGTTTTCAGAAAATTATTATCAAAATGTTCAAAAAAAATAAAGGAAAACAAGGATAAAGTAGATGAAGGTATTGAAAGTTCACAAGAGATTTGGAATCTATAAAATTGTACTAAAGGATATTCTAAAACATAAAAATGCAGTATCTGAAGTCAGCGACTCAAAGTTTTGTTTTAATAGGAGTTTTGGCACAGTGGACGGCAGGGTTAGTGAACATGAAGACAGGTTAACAGAATAGACAGAAATGGGAACAGTGAGGAAAGTAACAACAAAATGTTGGATAAATGCATAACAGGCGTGTGGGATAAGCATAAAGGGCCTAAAATATTTCTTTTTGATTTGAAGCACAAAATGAGTGGAGGGGAAAATGGAGTAAACAATATGCAAAGACATAATGGATGCAGATTTTTTAAAACTAACAACCTACAGATTCAACCTTAAGATTCAAAACGCACAGCAAACACAAGGAAATATAAAGACAAAGAAAACCAAGGATAGGCACATGGTAGTAAAATGGTTGGGAAAAAAGGCAGAAAAATTTCTTCAATATAACTAGAGGGAATAAAAAAATTACTTTCAATAGAGTAGCCGTAAGTCTGACTGTCAGAAAAAAGAAAGCAACAGATTTTGACCTCTTTAAAGTGCTAAAAGAAGATAACTGTTAATCTAGAATTATATATCACTTCACAATATTTTCAAAAATGAAGGTGAAAATACAGATGTGTTGAGACAAGAAATGCTGGGTGAAAACATGAAAATGCAAAGGGGAAGAAGATACTAGAAACAGCAAATATACATGACGAAGTATAAATGAATATCAACTGTACAAAATAATAATTATAATGTGAGGTGCAAATAAAATATATGGAGGAGTGTAATACATGACAGTAGTGTAATAACAGTGGTGAGTGGAAACAGTTAATATTATAAGCATGCCAAGGTCCTGGCATTGTTGACAATGTGTTAAGAGATTTAATTTGGGAGCTGGCCCTGTGGCCAAGTGGTTAAGTTCGCGTGCTCCGCTACAGGTGTCCCAGTGTTTCATTGGTTCGAATCCTGGGCGCAGACATGGCACTGCTCATCAAACCACGCTGAGGCAGCGTCCCACATGCCACAACTAGAAGGACCCACAACGAAGAATATACAACTATGTACCGGGGGGGGGGGGGGGGCTTTGGGGAGAAAAAAGGAAAAAAATAAAATCTTTAAAAAAAAAAAACAGATTTGAATTAGTGTGAAATAAGTCAAGGATATATATTATAGTCTCTGACATAACCACTAGAATAAGGAAAAAATGTTTAATTAAAATAAGAGGAAAATCAAATAAAAATTATTTGATTACTTCAAAATAAGACAATAAAGTAGAAAACAAGAGAAAAATCATTTGAGTCAAATAGATAAATGCAATGTCAAAGAAAAGGTTAGGATTATCTTTTCAATAAATTGTGTAGGGTCAGATATAATCTCACGGTAATGGTTATTATATTAAATATTCTATTTTTCTTAATACATTAAATGTTCTAAATAAAGAACTAATACTGCAAGCCTGGTTAAAATAACAACAACAACAACAGGAATAATAAAAGCCTGTTTGCTGTTTACTAGAGACATGCTAAAGACATAGATAGGTTGAGGTTAAAGGGTAGAAAATATATGTAATGTAAATAGTAGCCAAAAAAAATGCTAGAATAAATTTTAAAGCAAGATACGTTAATTGAGCTAACAATATTTCATAATAATAAAGTAGTCAGTTCAACAGGAATATCTATCCTAATTATCAGTTTATATGAACTGCCAAATAAAAACTGTACCACACCACTGAAATGGGCAAGGAAGAGTATTTTCTTCAAGACTGTTGTAATAAGGGAGAGACTTACAATAGGGAAGAGAGACTGAACTCAGCTCCTCTGCAACAAAAGACAGGAGGATTTTGAAAACATTGGGATTAGCTCATGGAAAAGTTATTAGAGGACATTAGCAGGGAGAGTGGTCACCCTGATGAGGCCAGCTGTATTTGCTAATCGTCCTTTATTGAAGTTAGTCTCCTACTTCCCCACAGGGACTGGGAGACAGGCGTGCTATGATTACGGATCAAAGGGATGACTCCCAGATCCTCGAGAAAGCTATTTCTGGTTCCTATAAGATTTACATCTTAAAGGGACAGAGAAAGAATTTACAATTGCAAGTTTTCTGAAGAAAAAGGGGGTCAGAAGCCAATTGTCAGG